TCGCCTTTTTATTCAGCTGCTAGTATCCAACAACATTCGACCATTGAAAAGTAGTCAATGTCGGGGACGCTTGACACAGAGAAATTGATATGGTAATACAGTAACTTCTAGAACAGTCCTGTTTGCTCTTCAGTGTCTTCTCCCTGAGGACGAGAAATACGTCCTTGGCTCAGAGAAGTACGTTTCCGAGATTTAAATTTCACTGTTTATTTTCCCTAACTTCCCTTGGTATCGTATTTTAAAAAAATAAAAGGCAACAAAGCTGCGACATCGAGAGATGCGTCAATTTTTATGTCGCATAACACCTCGGCGAGGCAGATGGTGCAGAGAATACAACTGAATAAACATAGTAATTATTTATCACTTCAATTCTCTGGCTTTTAATTTTTGGCGGCAGCCCGTGAGGTCAGCCGACGAAAGGCAGATGATTGCGGCATGCTTCCGAACCTTACATCAGAAAAACATTTTCAGTTTCAGTGTTGTTGGGCAGACGAATTAGCGGGGAAATCTTGGGAATTAGCGAAGTCACTCGCTCGGCCGCAACTCGCTTGTGAGCGCAGCAGGTTACGCGAGCAACCAGCAAGAAACGACTTGTGGGCAGGCGGCAAACTGACAACTACTCCGCAGATGTCGAGGTGCTCTTACAATAGTCCTTTGTTTATGGTGCCAAACTAGAGGATATTTGAAATGCAAAACTCCGGCGGCAGCCTATGAGGTCGAAGGAAGATAATACCTGGTGTTTCACGTCCTTCCGCGGTGGCAACTTTGATTGACAGCCTGGCTACCGCCCTTGAGGGATGACGGAAGCTGCCGTGTAATCATTTTCGTCAGCTTCAAGTCTGCGACCGAAGGAGCCTAATTCGGACGGCCAATTCCTTGCCTATTCCTTCGTCTTTTAAAGACGTATAATTAGGTAAGTAAAAACTAAACCCTTTTCCTTGGAAGCAGCCTATTAGTCGGTGAGCGGGGAGAAAATCGAGTTGTAACGGATACCTTCTCTCTCCCGTTCATGGCTGTCTGCGCAGGCAGGCTAATTCTTGTCGTTATCTCGTGAATATTCTCGCTCGGTGTCTCCGCGCTGAAAAGCATTTTCGTCAAGGGAAAGATTGAAAAATCTACTCCTTCCCATCAAATGACCGTATCGACCCAACTTCGAAATGTTAAGACTAAAGCAGTCGTTGTCTTCAAGACCAAGCAGTTCATTCAGTTGCCGACGCTCCTACCGCGCGACCCTTCCATTCTCGACACGAAATACGACAGAGCGCAAGGACGCACTCTGTTTTTAAGATAGAGTTCCGATGAATCGATGAAGTTAACTCCAGCGAATGAAGAATTGGTTCCTTTCGTGTACTGCTGGTAACCCAGAGGCTGATGGCAACTGTGTTTCTGTAATCAGTCTGCGGAGGAAAACACATGGAGACAGCACATATTATATTCGAGGGGAAGTCGCTTGTCTTATATTACAACAAATCTTCAAACTTGTTTTCTCAATATTTTCCCATATCCTCGAGTAGTAGAGACGACATTTCATATGTGTATAAGTATTTCAGACAAGGACTCGAAGTTTCCTTCATCTTCTTGAATGAAAATCTCGACCGCGGATTGCTTAGAGGTTGAAGAAGACAGTCGAGACCGCGACCTATTCCACGTGTCATGTCCGTCCGCGACGCTGGGCTTTTCAAACCCATATAGACTCACTAAGAATTAGAATGTACAAATTATTTGTTAATGGGTACTACGAAAGACTGTTTGGCCGGTAAAATTGCAAGTATTTTTCGATTCAAGCGAAATGTTTCGAAATCTGGCGAAACCGGCTGGGGGTCAGGAACTACGCAAAAGCGAGAGATTTATTTTTGGCAGTTGACGTCAAGCAATAATTCTCAGTTTATTTGTTTCCTGTTCTCCAGTCGAGTTGAGGGCAAAAACTCTCTTCTTAGCTATAAATCTCAATAGACGGTAATATTGTGCACAGCCATTGCGTCGAACAATCATTTACTTCTGTCGGGTGTTTCTTTATTTAATTTTTTTGTTTACATTAAATAATCAGTGCGAAGACGGAGGTAAAATGATCTACTGGCAACTGGCTGTCGTTTAATAGTATCGCTCGCCTTTTTGCAATATTATGGCCGTTATTAGGTTTGTGTCTGTTAACAGAATTTATTTTTCTTACTCAGATTTTGAGACAAAAATAATAATGTACTCTTAAATGTCATGAAACTGATGGAAAGCCTATATTTTGTCTAGTAAATCACTGCCATATACAACATATTGGATTGTAACAGGTGATGTCTAACCTTTAAAAGGCCATGTAGTTCTGCATGCAAGATGGAGTTATATTCACCAATTCTTTATCATAATTAAGCTGACTTGAACCCCTGACATCTGAGTACATGAATTAAAATTTGAAGAATTTTAGTACTATCCCCTCCCCTCCCCTGTAATATCAACTTTTGTTTACACAGTGGGTTTCCTCTTTGCAGGCCTAGGAACAGTGTAGGGTTTTTTATCATTATTTTCTGTTTTATTAATGTTGCATATTGAAAATGATTCAAGGAATAAATTATGCAAAATACTTCCGTGATGAGCTTAATACATGTATATACTTAAATTAGCAATTTTTGTAAGAAAAGGGAACGGGGCTTATGCTTTTTATCATCAAACCTCTATAGCCTAATGAAAAAAGTTACGCATCAGTTAATATGGACCTTGGGGATCTGAATTCAATTTGCGAAAACTTCGATTTCCAAATATCTAAAGATATCACTCTCAATTTAAAGAAAACTTTCTGCAAGCAGTTGTATAAACTTTTTGTAGAGGAAATCAAAACAGAACCTACTGCGATTAAATCATGGAGGAAAAATTGTCCTGAAGTTGCTGACAATTGGGTGAACTGTATTCAAAACAATTATAAAATCACTTGGGATAATAAGTTAAGACAATTCTATTTCAAGCTGTTGCACAGAATACTAGTCACTAATAAAGAACTT